GCGGGAATCAATTCGGTCATTTATTTGGGCAACTTAAAGAAAATAAAGTATACGAATAAAGTTGGAGCCAAAAGTGACTTGAAAAATCTCACTTTGAAAAAGTGGCAAACCTAAATATTTAGTACAATCGAGTTCAGAGACGGGACTGGAAATCGCCGATTGTATTTTATTGTGAGGGGTGGTACAATACAATTCAAGGTCACGATATAGTACAAATGGCCAGAATACAGTTTTTTCTACCTCCCTAGTATCTACCCATCATTTCCAGATAGATAACCAAAATTGTATAACAATGTCATAAATTATTGATATAAAAAATGCAAATATTTATCAACGTGGATCAACTAGGTCGCATGTTCAGCAATTTTTAAATCGTTTTTCAATCCCGAATATACGTGTCAGTTGTTTCCCTATACGAGTACGAATCTAAAGCAATCTTAAGTAAGTAAAGCGATATATCGGTATTTGCATAATATAGAACAGATGGTTGGTCAGAATAAGAAAAAAAAACTGTGCGTTAGGCAAACTCGTGCTTCAACTTGTTCCATCGATATAGTAGTTTTGGGTATGTAGATAGCAATTCACACCTCACAAATTAATTCTTTTCCGTCACAAAGAATTTCCTCCAACTGTTCAATTTCCGCTCATCAATGGGATGAGTCAGACCAGACTTCGTTTTAAATAACTACATACACTACATCTGTCCAATTAATCTGATTGTTTCCTCGCCTATAAAATAATGACCGCAGGGTTCTCCTAACACATACAAAACTAACTTCCGAATAGCTCACATCAACCAAAATATTCAATTTTACGATGAAAATTGCTATTGGCCTTATCCTCGTCGCTATGTCTTTGACAGCCAGCGATGCTCAGTTCTTCCTTCCGCCGTCGAATCCACTGTGGCAATTGCTAGGTCGCCCGACTGAATCGCCTATCGTGAGAAATCCTACGCTGGCCCGTCGCAGCAGCGAACTCAACAATGGTATGTAAATTAAAACAAAATTAATCAACTCCATTATGCGGTGTATGTAGACAGTAGGAGTAGCCACAAATCACAAAGGAATTATTAAATTCGTGGGCTTCAAACATTTTTTACTGAACGCAACTTTTTTTTGCCAAATAATGCTTATCAATTATTTTAATTAGTTAGGAATTGTATCGAAAGTTGCTTTATGTATATGTAAGTTAAGCAAAGTTAGAAAACCCCAAGTCTTGCTTCCTTAAAAAACCATCCCAAGGGTTTTTTTTGGCCTTTTGACTTTGTCACTACTACGTTGGGGCGGATTTAAAAAAAGTGTTATTAAAATTGTTTATTAAATTGAAACTAATGTAATATTTGGATTCTGAAGCAACTTTGAACATTGCTTGAACACAAACCCATGCAGTCAAAATTTATTTGTAACATAACTAATAGAAAACCAGCTTAAATATGTTCTTTGGAATTAAATACATACAAACATATCTAAATATATAGTCAAGTCATATTTATGAAAATGCTCAGAATTTTAATCCGAAAATACAATTTATATTTTGTTCTAACCTCATTAAAATACATAAATACCGTGCAGAACCATTAAAAAACACCAAAACCGTCATCTAAAAACGTGATGTGGTAAACTTTAGAAATTATAAAGATACTACTCTGCGATACAATTGCTATAATTTATTTCCCTAAAATTTTATCTCCTTTTTTCTAGCCTGTTGCGGAACAACGGCAGCTCCTCAATGGCGGAATCGGGTATTGAACTTTCCAGCTGAAAACATTTACTGTCGATGCAACCCGGCCTCTACCGGAAGTAACACGTACAGATGGCGCTGTGCAGCGATCCCTCCAACCACAACGCGAGGTAGAATTTTAACACAAAGATTGACCGAATTTTGTCATAGAGATAAGGAATATGTTAATGAGGGGTGATCTAGTATTAATCTATTCGTTTTGGTAAACTTTGATAAAAAATCTAGGTAAGCCCGTTACTACCATATTTCTGAACCATTTCAAGACTAAACAATAGATTTCGTGGAGACGGAAACTATTCAGTTTTCTAAACGTATCTATCACATTACATACATATCTTCTAGTTAATTCTTTAATCTATTTTTACAAACAACTTTTCATAGCTCCTACCACGGCTAGTCCTACCACTGCACCTCCGACAACTACAGTTGCGACTACGACCAGCGCCGTCCCAACCACGACCGTCATGTTCTTCCCATAAGTCAAAGAAACGGTACCATAAATGATCCTGAATCAACGTAGTCATTGTATTAGCTTCCTATGAAATTGTAACATTGGAGAAATTAATAAAATTATATTGGACTATTTGCAATATACTAAGGACTAAATTTTGTCTACGATATTCTTTTGTGAAAATATTGGATGATTTTGATTGATGGCATTTGAATACGATATCTCTACGATTTTTCCAAATTACTCATTATCATTTACTTTGTAACCATGGAAACATACTGAGAATAAATAATTGCTTAGTGCAAGGAGTAAGTGTATATATGAGCCACGCTGCCAATTCTGGCGGCTTGTTTAAGTACATCAAATTAGACAACATTGGAACATATGATCCGGCTGTTTAAACGTGCAATGCTGCTGTCTATTTTAATATTGACATTTTGATACATTTGTATAAGAGAAGGTTTATATTATTAAATCACAGACTCCGTGTCCCTTCTAGCTGCATCAGATCTTATGTCGTAGAAAATTAGGTAAAGCTATTTGGTAAATAGATATTTGGTATACCAAATATTTATTAGTAGAAGAATTGGTTATATCCAATTCTACAGCTACTAAATAGTTTGTTGTAACTTAGTTCCTTTAGTCTAAATTCTGTTGATGATTTTTCTGTAAGTGTAAGAACTGAACAGGAGAGCATTCATTGACGGGCAACAACATATCATTCTTCGGTGACGGCAACGCCGGAAAGCCGGGCCCCGCACAGAACGACAAAATGAATATGCTCAGGTGGGGCCCGGCGTAGCCGGAAGATTCCTTTCGTACCGAGCACCCAAAAGGTCCCACAACTCTAGCGCCCAAACCATGCAATTTAAAGAAGAATGACAAGAGACAAAATAGTTAGAGTATTCTGTGAGATGCGCCGCGTTAGTTTGAAATTTCAAAATTTTTTAGTCCTTCCATTAGAAATCGATTTTTGAAAGCTATTTTTCGATAATTTCGACGTAGGAATTAAACTTTCTTATTAGACATATGACTTTATTAAATTGCATAGGTAAAACCGAATTTTTTTTGTATAACGCATTTTTACGTACAAAGTCAATTTAATGACTTTGAGAGGATAATTAAGAAAATTACCAATTTGGGAGCTGTAAATAAGTAATCCAATTCCATCGTACTTCAAACGCAAGGCGTGCTGGTCTAGTGGTTAGTACGTGCTGACCGAACTCGAGCTGTCGCGGGTTCGAAGCCGACTGTAGCTAATGTTTTTGCACAAATTTTTCACCAAAATGAATATCATTTTGGACGAAAATTTCATTGAGAATTCAATTCTGTAATTATTTTTGACCTCTGACCTTCCGCGGACCTTGTGGTCGAAGAGCAAAAATAACTTAATCGCATGCGTGGTGTCATTCCGGAAGCAAATTTCACCCCGACTTCGATGGGATAATTATTTTTGACCTCTGACCTTCAGGCGACCTTGTAGCCCAGGTCAGAGGTCAAACAAGGAATTTGACCATATGGGGTACCTATCAAAACGTATTATCGAGTACGGTCGGTCTTGATGTGGGGTGAATTGGCAACTGGGCAGTTTGAGCTAATGGTAGATACTAACGAGAAAGTAATGGAGATATAGAAACGCGTGTGTTACGAACAATTTCATGCGGTTTCACCTCTTTCTTACGGTGGCAACTTATGTAATAATCCCTCGTCAGAAATCGCCACTAAGTGAGTACATGCGGTGTAGAGGTGTTTCAAATTTGGAAATCAGGTCATCTCATGTCCAATAATTTTCGCAAGCCCATCCTCATCAAAGAAATTATTGACCTTTAATCTCGTCAATTTTGGGAAGTAAGTACCTCCAAGAGAGGGGAAATCTAAGGAAATGTTAGATTCAAGACGCTCCAATTGAAGTTCTTCTAAAATCTTGGACGCCGAGAGTATTAGTCTGATGCAGAATTCCTCTATGGGAGTGAAATTCATTCCCGTGTGGATACTGGACATTAATTGTTTTGAAATTGTTGACGGGTCGAAATATAGAGAAATCGAGAGGACCTAGCTTGTACTTGAGGACGGATGGAATTTTGAGGAAGATATGAGTTGGACAGAAGTTGAGTTTTTCTACTATCGATGAAATATCTAAATATTCCTCATTCTCCTTAAGGTAAGAGGATATTTGAAGTGCAGTTATTGTCCTCATTTTTAGGACTGGGGTAGATCCATAATTCCAGGTCACAATGGAAGGCCCCAATGTTAGAAAACGGGCTTTATTCCCCGACGTCATTTTTTAATATATTTTCATATTTGGTGATTTGGTTGATCATTATGGATACTATAGAAAAATTGAGTAACCACACCTGTTGTTATAACTTGACCATTGTTAGGCCAAGTTATAACAAATATGAAATTATCAAAAGTGCATGCATGCAATTGGGCACGCAATGCCAAAATGCTCATATGAGAATCAGAGCTTCTGCAATGTTTGAGATTGACTAAACATGGGATTGTTTAAAGTGTAAGCATGTATGCAATGTCAAAATGTTCATATGAGAATGGGAGTTTTAGCGACACTTGAGTGAACGAGATCGTCTAAACATGGGATTGTTTTTAACTCTAGTTGTTATACAATGCCAAAATGTTCAGATGAATATGATCGTGCTTGTGACAACCCAGTGAACAGACTGGAAATACCGACCAGACGGTTAAAAAGTTAATTTATTAATTAATTAACTAATTCAAAACAGTTTAAATGAAAAATTGTTAGCAAGTTGGAAGTGATATATGTGAAGTGATGAACAATACCAAAAACGCGTTATTGTCCAGTCGAACCGAATCCCTTATCACCGCGCGGCTCGCGGGATAAGAACTCACTTCTTTGAACGCCGTGTTCTTCGTCTTTCTTAGTTCCTTCAACGTATCGCACTGGTCCGTGGTAATTGGGATTACTGCAAGCTGCCCGAGGCGTGACGCCGCTTTGTAAGCGAAGTTTCGCTC